TAATAGGGCCAAAAATACGGCTCCCGTCAATTTCCTGGACCCAGAGAGAGGTTTTTTTTGGTGTCCAGCGGGAGCCGCATTTTTGGTGCTATTAAGCCTTAAATGGGCCAAATATGTGGCTCCCTAGGCCTGATAGCACCGAAAACTCGGCTTTGCGCATGAAACTGCACCCCTCAGCCCTTGTCATGCCTAGAACTGCGAAACCAATCGTGGTAAAATGGTTTTGTGTTGTGGTAAACAGAGTGCCTTTCTAATCGTGGTTATACCCCCTCCTCTGACAAAAAGTGTTATAGGGATTCTCTGGAGATTCTTTGGGGATTATATAGGGATTAATGGGGTCATTACCCCAATAAGGGAGAATCGAAGGTAGAAGAAACTGGAACATGAAATGGAAACTAGGGTTTTCTATCGGGATCATATGTTCGGGGAGATTTGAGGGGGTTTAGGGGTTTTAGGATTGGAAGATGATGGTCTCACAGCCTAATGCCTGACACTCATGTAGGGTTCAGGATTTATGGGTGAGGTTTCAGAGTTTGGGGTTTCAAACGGCAAGTGGCTGGAAATTCTTGAGGCCACAATTTTTCGGACGTATGACTTCATAATTTTGGCGCTATGACCCCTAGGGTTATTTACTGCCCAGCATCTCGAATATGGACCAGTCTTGAGCTTAGCTCCTCAGTATATTCTGGTACCATATATTTCAAGGGATGAGGTATTTGGGGTCATGCAGGATTTTGCGTACCAACTGTACTTCTTAAACCCCTACAACATCCCAGTTACCATGTCATGTTCGAGCCTCTTTTCCATTTGATTCACCATTGTCGGGGTACTACCTCCCTATGTACGGTTACCTCCTTGTCGTCATCCGGAAGGCATGTATGGATGCAAACTCCAAAACTCCGACATTGCAAGGCGGGCAACGGTCTGGCTCACCAGAAGAACCTTCTAGAAATCGATCCCCTACAGGGCCTGCTAAACCCTGGCGGGTGTCAAGCACACTAATCCACACGATGCTGTATACCCGCCGTGACCCCACAAATCCTTACAAACGTCACAGCAGCCTCATTTACCGCACTTTTACTACCCAAATCACAGCTCATCTCATATCCGTTAAACCCTTGTGTCTGAACCTTAACCCTAACGCGTAACCCCACAGCCCCCAGACCTTAAAACCCCCTCCAACAGCCCAAGGCTAGACCCAAATCCCCCTAAACCATAAACCCTAAACCATAAACCCTGAACAATAACCACTAAAAACCTTCAAACCTAAACCCCTTCCCAAGCCCCAAAGCTCGGAAGCACCTAGGAACTGCCTGGTTACCGTTCCTCAGGACAAGTAGCCTTGCTGCATTGGGATGAGGTTCGGGTTTGGGGATTAGTGTTTAGGGCTTAGG